GCTGACTATTGGAGGATCTATAGTACAATCCCAATGAGGTGATCATCCCTTTCTTATTTCTCAGTTCCACCCGTATATCTTCCCCAGACGTATTCCCAGGAATATCCTCCCTAAGTATAGCTGTAATGTTATCCCTAATCAAAAATGCTACTTCCCCTCCTCTCTTCCCCCCTTTCTATCCTTCCTATAGCATTTATACCCGGGAACACCAAGCTGCCAGTCCCACTCCTTCCTTCGCCACGCCTCTGTAATTGCTATGATATCCCAGTCCCATGTTCCCAGCCATGCCCTGAGTTCATCTGCTTTACCTGTTAGGCCTCTTGCATTGAAATAAATGCTGTTTATCAGACCTACCTCATACTCTACTATATTCTTGCCTGTCCTGACTGTTTGACTTGCTCCTTTTCCCAACTGTACCAGTCTCAGACTGATCTCTTTCCTCACTATCTCCTTGTGTCCCACCTCCCCTGCCCCACCCACTTACTAGTTTAATCTTCCTGAGCAGTTGTAGCAAATCTTCAGCCAGTACATTTGTCTCCTTCCAATTCAGGTGCAATCCATCCTTCTTATACATGTCGCTTCTACACCAGAACATATTCCAATGGTCCAAAACTGTGAATCATATTCCCCTGCACCAGCTCCTCAGCCACACATTCATCTGTGGCTCTGTCCTCCTATTGCTACCCTCACTAGCTCTCTGCACTGGGAATAATCCAGATTTTGCTACCCTTGAGGGTCTCCTTTTTAAATTCCTGCCTAACTTCCTATATTCTTCTCCTCAGAATCTCATCCTTTTCTCTTCGTATGTCATTAGTTCCAACATATACAACAATCTCCCACTGGTCCCTCTCTCTTGAGAATATTCTGCACCCTCTCCGAGATATCCATGATCCTGGCACTAGGGAGGCAACACACCATCCTGATGTCTCGCTGTCACCCGCAGAAATGTCTGTCTGTACCTCTGACTAGACAGACCCCTATCACAATCAACTGCTTGGAACCTAACGTACTCTTCGTTACATTAGAGCCAGTCTCGGTACCAGAAACCTGGCTGTCAGTGCTACATTTCCTTGAGAGTCCTTCACATCCCACATTTTTGAAAACAATGTACTTGTTTGAGATAGGGATACCACAGAAGACTCCTGCACTACCTGCCTCCCTCTCCTACCTTTCCTGGAGGTAACCCATCTACCTGACTGTAGCTTTGGTTTATCTCCTTCCCTGCAACTGCTACCCATCACGCCTCCTAGCTCCTGTAAATTCCTCATTGCCTCTAACTGCCGCTCCAACCAATCCATGCGATCCAATAGGATTTGCAACCAAACACACTTCCAAACACACATCAGGAACATGGAAATTCTCCCTAATCTCCCACATCCAAAAGGAAGAACACATCATTCTACTAAAGGCCATCTTTGTACCTTAACTATCTACAGACCCAGAAAATAGTACAGTCTTACTGCTCTAAAAACACTGCTCCAAGCTAACTTAGTACCTATGTTATATATTTTTAAAACTTGAATCGAGAGATAGATCTCAATAAAACATATAATCAAAAAGGAACCCACTGTACTCACTATTGTAGATTTACAAAAAAAAACAGTAAGGTTACACTTTAAAAAGCCACTTAGCTGCTCCCCACACAGGTTTCTCCACGGTCAGCTGTGAATTTCACTGTTTCTTAATTTTTCTTAGATGAACTCCAATGTCCACAGAAATTAAACTTGCCCTTGAGAAGGTGGGGGTGAGCTGCCTTCTTGAACTGCTGCAGTCCATCTGCTGTGGATTGACTCACAATGCCATTAAGGAGGGAATTCCAGGATTTTGACCCAGGGACAATGAAGGAATGATGATATGTTTCCAAGTCAGGATGATGAGTGGCTTGGAGGGGAACTTGACTTTGGCAGTGTTCCCCTGTATCTGCTGCCCTTATCCTTCTAAATAGAAGTAACATGGGTTTGGAAGGTGCTTATCAGAGGGTCTTTGGTGAATTTGATAACGAATTTGATGCTTGATCACTGGCAATGGATATGAGAGGTCAAAGTTATTTTCCGTGTTTTAAAAACTCTATTACTGTATCAGTGGAAAAGGCAGGACTACAGAGCTTGGATCTCATCCATAAGTCACGAAATTGGAACTCTCTCTTTGACTTGCTACTTATGCTGTTTGGTTCACAAATAGTGCTTTGTAGCCTCACCAGGTTGACACCTCATTTTTAGGTATGACTGGTGCTGCTCCTAGAAGCTCTCCTGTGCTTTCCATTGAACCAGGCTTGATGGTAATGGGACAGTGGGTAATATGCTGGGCCAGTAGGTTGCATATTATGTTGGAGTACAAATCTGCTGCTACTGAAAGCTCACAGTGCCTCAGTGAGTTGCTAGACCTGTTTGATTTTTTTTCCCATTTTGCATGGTGACAGTGTCTGACAACATGATGGGATTCTCAAAGCGACAGTAGGACTTAGTTCCACAGGAACTGTGTGGTGGTCACTCTTACCAGTACTGTCATGGACAGATGCATCTGTAGCCAGCAGATTGGTAAGGATGAGGACTATACAGGGGGAGGCAATGACCTCGTTGTATTATTGCTGGACTGTTAATCCAGAGACCCAGATAATGTTCTGGGGACCCGTGTTCGAATCCCACCACAGCAGATGGTGGAATTTGAATTCAGTTTAAGAAAATCTGGAATTAAGAATCTAATGATGACCATGAACCCATTGTCAGAAAATCCAGCTCTACACCTTGTTATGTCAGAAAAACCCATCTGGTTCACTAATGTCCTTTAGGGAAGGAAACCGCCATCCTTACCTGGCCTGGCCTACATATGACTCCAGACCCACAGCAATGTAGTTGACTCTAAATTGCCCTCTGGGTAATTATGGATGGGCAATAAATGCTGCAATAAATGGGCAATAAATCAGTGACACCCTCATCCAGTGAACGAATAAAGAAAAAAAAAAGGTCAAGTATATTTTTCATTCTTGGTTCTACCTGCCAGTCTAATAGCTGTTCCTTTGGGACTCAACCAGCTCGATCAGTAGTGCTCCTGCCAAGTCACTCTTAGCGATGGATATTGAAAACCTCCAGCTAGAGAGCATTCTGTGCTCTTGCCACCCTCCGTACTTCCACCAAGTGTTATTCAACATGTAGGAGTACTGATTCATCAGCTGAGGGATGATGTTATGTGGTAATCAGCAGGGGGCTTCCTTGCAAATGTTTGACTGCATTACATCTTTCTCACAACACACATTCCCATTTAGCTTCGTGTCATCCAGGAACTTGGAAAAATTACAACTGGTCTCCACATCCAAATCATTCCTATATTGTGAACAGTTGGGTACTAAGTACAGATTCTGAGTACTGATTCTAAATACTAAAGGTGAGGATGACCAATTCATTTCTATTCTATTTTCTGCCCATTAGCCAATCCTTTTTCCTTGCACATTATTTCCTATCCCATGTGCTTTAATCTTTTGAACCAACCTCCAATGAGGGTCTTCAACAAAAGCCTTTGAAAATTCAACATTACCATATCCACTGAATTCCCTTTATTAATTATTTTAGTAAGATTCTGAAAACGCTCTAAGCTTATCAAACACTATTTCCCATTTGCAAATCCATCCTGACTTTGCCCATTCAGGTCACTATTATCCAAGTATTCAGTTATCCCATCCTTATACAACAAACGTTTTATTAACCACCACCTATGGGACCCAGGAGTGTGCCAGTTGACCAAATATTCCAGATAATCTAGAGGTCCACATAATCAATGTAAAAACTTACACTAAGTAGTAGCAACATAAGGCAGGGGTATACACATCACTGTTATACTTTATTTACAGCATAAGTCACTTAAATAATTTGGCAACTTTGCCTGAAATACAACTTACCTGCAGAGAGCCTTCTCAATTGCGCTTTCAGCTGACTACTTGGATATTGTGGAGATTGCGATAATTCTGTACATATCTGGTATTTCAGGTATATAATTTTTGCCATTTTATTGAGAATGCTGTTCATAGTTAAAATAAAGTTTACTGTATTAGATTCTAGCACTTTTCCTCCTATTGATGTAAAACTAACAAGTCTTAGTTCCCTGTTTATTTTCTCCCTTCTTTCTTAAGTAGTGGGATGGCATTTGCTAACTTCCCATCTAAAGGGATCACTGCAAAATCTGTAGCATTTTGAAAGATAATCATCAATGCTTTGACATAGGAACATAGGAACAGGAGTAGGCCATTCAGCCCCTTGAGCCTGCTCTTCCATTCAATAAGATCATAGTTGATCTGTGGCCTAACTCCATATGCCTGCCTTGGGCCCTATTTCCCCTTATACCCCTTGCTTTAGATAGTTGGGCCTTGGACGCCACCTGGAGGGTGCCCTCCAGTAATGTCCTAGACCTGAGATGGCAGAACCTTAAAGACCACAACCATCTTCCTTTGTGCTCTGCTTGATTCAAACCAACAGATAGTTGTCCCCTCATTCTTGTTAGTTCTTATAGGATCCCTGATGCCAGACTTGGTTGAATACTCATCTCCTCCCCTTCGGAGTTCTGTTCCTGTTTGGACCAAGCCTTTACTGAGGTGACAAGCTGAAATGACCCTGGGTGAAATCCTAATGGAAATGTGGTGGAAGCATGTTCAATTGAGATATTCAAAGGGGGCACTGGATGATTGTTTGGAATGAAATGTTGTGTACAGATATGGGAAAAAGGCAGGAGATTGGTAGTAGGTAATAGAACCAGTGCAGGCACTATGGGCTGAATAGCTCTTCCTGCAACATTGCTATTTAGTGATTCTGTGATCTCAAATATGAAAGTAAAAGTGTGTGAATGCTTGATTTTAGTCTTCAGTACTGAAACACATTTGTTAATCATTTGTGTTTTAAAGCCAAAGGCTGATAACTAAATAAAATTGCTCCTCTGAAACTCTGTGTAAAATTTGTGAATGAGTGGCTAAATAAAGAACTTGCTAAGAATTTCTTTGTAAATTTTTTTCTCAGTTGCTAATGAAAAGACTGATCGAAATCCACGACCAGTTCAAAGATTTGCACGTGAGTACAATATTTTTTGTTCTTAATTTTTGTTCTTTTGATGAATGTTCTGAAATGATTGCACATTCATGCTTTGGGTTTTTTGGTAACTTAATAAATAATGAATGTCACAATCACTTAAAGTGTATCCGTGGCTATTTGGTTGAACATCACTTTCTGGCATTACTTCGAATTCTATTTCTCCAGGACCTTTTAGATGTTCTGTTGTTATTTCATCTATGCCTGGAGATTTACCCATACTTATCAACTTCAAAATTTTTAAACTTCTGATATGATAATGTTTCATCCATCGTTTCCCTCAATATCTATCTCAAGGACTCCATCAGTGTGTATCATCATACAAATCCCACGGTAGGGGAGTCCAAAATTAGAGGAGCAGAAGTTTAAGGTGAGAGGGGAAAGGGACCTGCGGGGCAACTTTTTCACACAGAGGGTGATGCGTGTATGGAATGAGCTGCCAGAGGAAGTGGTGGAGGGTGGTACAATTACAATATTTAAAAGGCATCTGGATGGGTATATGAACAGGATAGGATTGGAGGAATATGGGCAAAATGCTATCAAATAGGACCCTATTAATGTAGGATATGTGATCGACATGGAAAAGTTGGACCGAAGGGTCTGTTTTCATGTTGTACAACTCAATGACTCCATGACTCTAAATCACTTATACGTTCTGTCCATTATTTTGCTACGCCATCTCTAACAAAACAATATTCTATCATCTTTGTCTTTTATGCACCCAGTATCTGTTGTTATCTATTTCTTTCTATCTGTCAAAGATTTCACCTTCATGTGTGGAACTCTCATTTTGTGATATTTTTCCAGCTTCGATATGTTTTCTTACATCCCATTATACCTTTTCTTTTTCGCCTCCCTGCAAGCATTCTTTATTTTCTTTCCAATTTTGTCACACCAGCGTGTGTCTCCTTTGTTATGAAATTCATAATTAGAGACAATAGCAATACTTTCAAAGCAGAAACTGGAAATGCAGTCTGGATTTAGTCCTGGATTAGCAGGAGTGAAGGGAATAGTTATTGTAACCTTCATTAAATATTCAGAAATAAGCAGAAGTATTCCCATAGTGAGCATCAGACTAGAAAAGGGACAATCAGCTATGTGTTAAGTGAAGAGAGGTATGTAACAAGGCTGTGTACTTGTAGTCAAAATTATTTAGTTTGTACACAGAACAAATATTCTCATTGTTGGATGTATTTCCAAGGGTAAACGTTAAAGACAAGAGCATAGTAAATTTGAGGTATGCGGACAACACAGTATTATTTGCAGTCATAAGAGGCCTCACAAAACATAATAGATCACGTAAAATTCCGTATTTTAAAATATGGATTGAATATGAACATCAAAAGACAAAAGCGATGCCAGTTATCAGGAATACATCAGAAGAAAATAGAGAAGATTGAAGTGGATGGTGTTGCACAAGAACGTGTTGACCATTTTGTCTATTTAGGACAAATGACAACAGATGATGGCAGATATGACACAGAAATTAGAAGGCTAGAGATGGCCAGAAGTAATTTTGTGAAGATGAAGGATGTATTGACCACAAAAAAGCTCAAGTTTGGAACAAAGGAAAAAGGACAAAAGATGCTATATTTAATCATGTTCATGTATACTTCAGAGGCATGGACAATAAGTAAAGAACTGTTGAACAAAATAGAAGCTTTCAAAATATACATGTTAAGATGTATGCTAAAAATTCCATGTGCTCATCAGAAGACAAATGAAATTGCAAGAGTAAAAAAGACAAGATCAAGTACATGTTCCGGTGTGACACCATCTACTCTTACTAGTGACAACCAGAAAAGATCTCTGCTCCTACGATGCTGCTTGGCCTGCTGTGTTCATCCAGCCCTGCACCTTGTTGTCTCGGATTCTCCAGCATCTGCAGTTCCTACTATCTCATGTCCATATTTTGCTCATTTGGTCAGAACTGAAAGGCTGTAGCGATCTCTTCTAAGTGGTAGAGTGCAGGAGAAAGAGGTGCTAATCTAGACATAGTGGGTATGATGGATACTGCAGAATGGTTGTGTGGAGATCACACAAAACTGACTAGTGTGGCATACCATTACAGCAGGCCCCCTAACAAGAGTAGTCACAAGCCACGGCTGTGGGAGGTGAATATACGTCAATGAAATTTGCTCTGCTGAATGTCCTTTGAAATTGAAATGATAACTTGCTTCTCAAACTGCCTACATTTGTCTTTTCATATATTGCTTAATTTTCCTTTCTTTAGTTTGATTTCCTCACCCCCTCTTTGGAGTTTATCAAAGTATCATCCAACTGAAAAGTGGAAAGTCCAATTTATACTTCAAAACCTCGGAAACTGATTTATCAAAATGCTTTTCATTGGATCAACGTCATTGCCTTTTAAACATTATAACAAAAGTAGAAATCAGCAGCTTTGGTCTCCTGGCATTTAAAAATTGGATACACCACCACGATGACTTTGTGAAATTTACATGTGTCGCAGAAAATCATTTTCAAAATATCACTTCCTTTTAACCTGACTGTGGCCTTGGTTCCCCTTCTCAAGAACTGATCTCCGACTAAACTTTCATTCTGGATTGTTCCTTTCCCTCTTTAGAGCTCATTGCATCATTGTATCCACCATCTTTCAGTTTCTGTGCTTATGCATCCTGACATTCTCTTGTCATATTCAGGCTTTTATACCTCTCTCCCTTGAAGACCTCACATCATTCTATTGCTTCAAAATGTTCTTTGGTTCCACTACCTTCATAATTTTTTTGTTTCTTGTTTAATAGCCAGCTCTTCCTTTGTAGATTTTGTGAAGAGTCTTATACTATGCTATTTCTTTTTCTTAATTTATTAGTTTGTGGGATTTGGATATCCTTGGCAAGGCCATCATTCCTAATTGGCTTTGTGCTGAAGGGCAGTAAAGAGTCACATTTTGCTGTGGGTTGGGAAATGCATAGATTAGGCTGAGTAAGGATGGCACCTTTCTCTGAAAGACATTTGCAAATCAGATGGGTTTTTACAACATTCAATTTCATGGTCATGATTTCTGATAACTAGCTTTCAATTCCAGTTTTATTTTCAATTAACTGTTTGAGTTCCATCAGCTGCTATATAACTTAAACTGGAATCACTTGACAATCTGAACAGGATATGTGTTACAGAGATAGTAGGAACTGCAGATGCTGGAGAATCTGAGATAACAAGGTGTAGAGCTGGATGAACACAGCAGGCCAAGCAGCATCAGAGGAGCAGGAAGGCTGACGTTTCGGGCCTAGACCCTTCTTCAGAAAAATGATTTTCTGGATATGTGTTGACTATTTTGGAAGTCGAGAGGCTGAAATTTCCTCTCCTTTTGAGCGATGAAAGCAATGGTGAGAGAGTTTGGAAAATTCAACAATGATGGAAAAACCGTCAACGTCAAGAAAAAGATTTCTAATTATCCCTTTAAAGTTTAAATGGTGACTTTTGACTCTCATGAATGAATGGTAATTACCATGTTTACTTTGATTTGCATCTTATTATTGGTTAAATCTGCCTAATTTCTATACTTTCTCTTTTTTCCCGAAACAGCTAGAAAGCACCAAAGCCCTACCACTAAGTCAGAGTAGTTTCCTGACAGTAGAAGCTCCCTGCTTCCTTCCACAGGCCTCCAGACAACTCTGTCTTCATCACAATGTCAGAGCGTGTTCTGTGGGTACCGTCCTTTTCCACCTTTAATCCACACGAGTGAACATCATTGAAGCACCAGTTGCACCAAATCCTCATGCCTGCTTTCAAACTGAGTGACACAGCAATTTCAGCCTTTTGGGACTTCACTTTGGAGCTCAGGGTCACTTCTACTCTTTTGTCATGTCGCTTTGCGCACACGGACAGGCACAAATTTCATGCATCATTGCAGAACACATCTCATACTTCTTCACTTACTTTCTTAGTGTTCACTCACTTTGCACTTAGTTGGAGCCTGCCAACCTCGGTGGCTTGCAATGCTTTTTAGCACTTGTTATGGTTGATAGCACTGAAAAAAGAGGTGGACGTGTTTGTGTGTGACATTGTGCCACATCAGTGTAATACCCACAGCATGTGCCAACAAACACACTGTATGTGCTTCAACTAAAAGAAGACTCTGTCCTTAATTGGGTCAGGGAGAACCAATGTCAGTCAAAGGGCTCATCCAACTCAAGACAAGAGGATTACAGTATGTCAGCAAAAGTGCCATGGTGCTGGGCGGATCTGGGGCTGGACTAGGTCGTTGAGGGAATAACTGTGCTGAAAGGGGACAGTTTAAGATAGAAAGGTGTGAGCTCGTAGACATTAGGAAAAGCGGGTAAGCTGTGGCAGGCAGGGCTTTCACTCTGGCCTCAATGTGGAAAGACTGTATGAGCAACCAGGGCATGGCAATAGGCAAAGCCATGCTTTTGGGTTAAATTGGGACTGTTACGGTCACAACTTGTGGGAGGCTGAGAGGTTATCACAGACAGAAAGGCAGCAACAGAAAAAGGGAATGTCAAGGCTCAGTGGGATCATTCCAAGTCTCAGGTAGAGTCATCCACCAGGACATGAATGGAAACTGCCCAACTGCACAATAACGTGTTAAAGAATGTTACTGTTTATTTCTCTTCAGGAGTGCAGTGACTACACTTTGCAGAACACACATCTACATTTCACAACTCCAACTCATCAATAAACAGAAAGTGGTGATCATTGAGACAGTGCACTAACATGGCATGGTGTTAAGGTTCAGTTATTTTGTAGGTTTCAGTCGGCACATGATATCCACGTGTTGTATAATGAAATATCCAAACCTTTTGGAAACAGTCCTTCGCACTCTTACACCATCAGTTAGCCTTCAACATTTAACAATGTGCAGCGATTGATAAAGTGCCTTGAAAGCATTCTGTAGGACAGTGGGTAACCTGAGAGAGCAGCTTCTCTCAGCAGATCCCTACATTATGATGGAGAATGTAGATGTGAACTTTTTATTGTACTGCTCCCAGCCTTGAATGGTC